GGGCAGATGCTGCTGTGGACAAGCAGATGGACATCACGGTGGCCAATGCCAAGGAAGGGGCTTCCGGGGCATCGTGCAGAGCTTTCGAGGGGCAGGTTGCGGAGCTCCAGAAGAAGATGGGGAATTTGCAGCCGGGGGAAGAGCCATTCAGTCCGGGGGTCAAGGTGCCTGATTATGCTGCTTTGCCAGGGGCTGCAGATCTGGAGAAGCTTGCCGATGTGGCGGCACTCCAAGCAGAGCTCGGCGAGAGAGAAGTTCCCGCGGGCGCCGTGCTCAGCGAAGCCGAAGTCGCCGTTTACGAGATGCGTCAGACCTTGTTGAGTCGCAAAGCTGCTGCCGCCCAGGACAGTTGCAAATGCTTCCGTTGTTGGTTGCTGCGCCACATCTAGGCTGTCCGGTTAGTGTTCGGCAATTGAAATAACAGTTCGTAGTTGAGTCAATTTAAGTGGCAATGGTGTTGCAAGCTGCGTGTGCATGCATTGCTGCAAGGACCCATCGGCAGAGCAAGATCCAGCGAAGCAGAAAACGGCTGTTCAAAGCCTTGTCCAGCAGGCGAAGCAGAATCCCGTGCCGGTGAACAACCCGGCCCGAGCAGGAACCCTTCAGGTGCCGGCGCGGGTGTGAGTCTAGAGGTTTAGATAAAGTTTAGGTTTAGTTTAGGGCAGGTTTTGTTAAAGTTCTAGGCCTAGGGGCAGGTTTGGAGTTTGGGACTTGTGAAAGGGCTAGTGTCGGAAAGCTACTGTTTCAGTTACTACTAGTTGCTACTTACTACTAAATTTGGGTTTGGAATAATCGCTGCGGGTACCTTTGCAGGATTACTTGCTGCGTGGAGCCGCGTCCGCGAAGCCGAAGGAAAAGGACAAGAAAGAACCCAAGGCGAAGGCGAAGGTGAAGGCAGATGAGGGACCGTAACCGTAAAAGAAAGAACTAACCATCGCTCTGCCTGACCCAGCCCCCCGAAACCCTAAACCTTAATCCCTTGTCTTATCCTAAACGCTGCAGGCCAGTGCATCCAAGCCGGATGAAACGCCGACGAATAAGAGGAAGCGTCAGCCGAAGGCTGAAGCTGCACCCAAAAAGGGTGCCGGCAACTCCGGTAAGAAGAGCAAAAAGTAGCTGAAAACAACAGCTGCTGTGGACTGGAATCCTCCGCTGCTGTGCTGCCGGGTCTTTTGATCCCTAAGAACACATGAGCAGACACTGACATGCAGACTCTCACAACACAGCACTGGGTCCGACTTTCCGGCAAAGGCAGCGGGGCTGAACTGTTGAACCTTGTGCAAACCGGAGCTCTTGGTGCCTCCAACGTACAGAAAACAAGCGTGCCAGGGGAGTTCACATCTTTAGCATCGAGTTGCGTCATCCCTCATTAAATTTGTAGTCATAAACGTGTTGGCTCGTTTACATGAGATGAACAGCCCCTGCCCACCCTGGACAAGCCACACCCGTAACCCCGAAACCCACGCAACGGAATCAGCA